TTAGATATTTATTACTCCGTATTATAAATTAGTTTTCATATATTTGTATCATAAAAATATATCTATAAAAATAACTAAATAAGAAGTACTAGTATTTCTTCTTTTTTCCAAAAGAAAAAAAAAAGAAAAAGAATTGGAGCAAGTAGCCTCGCACATGCCACGAAAAGAGGAGTAAGCAAGTCATGCCTCGCCCAAATCAACCGTGTCAAATCCTATGTGGCATGCGTGGCAGTGGCTTTGACACGCCACTGCCCATGCTCTAAGAGCACGAGCAATGACAAGGAGAAAATGAAATGTCACACGCTGACGTGTTATATTTTGACCAATAAAATATAGTCCAGTCATGTAGTGTCACATGAGTTGAGTGGCAATTCCTGCAATGGCAAGTAAGTATGTTTTCTACTTTTTTAAATATATACTTCATATTAATAATAAATATTATATCACCGGAGTATATTTTATCATAAAAAACCTTTCTCTCTTTTTATAAAATATTGGAGATTCAAGTTCATAATTATTGAAATTTAAAATTCTGAAATCCTAATTAAAGTAAACAAATTGAAGAATCCAACATTTTACTAGCTCCATTGTTTCCTTCATCTGTCAACAAAAGCCTACAACCTTCTCCGTCGTGCAGACAAGCTAGAGCATCCAACAGATTCACAGCCTTCCAACAAATTCACAACCCCACTGTTGTGTCTTTGCCAGGTGAAAACCTAGATCGGTCCATTACTTCCTCTGATCTAAATCTTTTCTTCAATTTTCTTTGAAAAGAAGAAAAGATTCTTCAATCTTCCATCTCAAATACTCCAATAATAATTAATAAAAATAATAATTGTGAAACTAATATTGCCTCGTAGATGGCACGATAGGTGGGGTGGAACGCCCCTGAGTTGCCTCGCGCCTCGTCTCCACTCGCTGATGTGGCAGGGCGTGTCATTCCTTTGACACGCCGCTGGTGATGCTCTAATTGAAATGCCCGACGAAGTAGTAAATTAGTAAAAAATATTTGCACTAAATAACACCAAAACTTAAATCATTTATCTAAATATCACTTAAATTGTTTTATTTTCTTAAATAACACTTAATAATATCCAGAAGGAGGAATAATATTGAACATTTACTTGAATAATGACTAATGGATAATAACTAAAAGTGCTACATTGGGAAAAAACACATATGATGTTATTTAGGGAAAATCATTATGTTTTAGTGCTATTTAAGTAAATTTCCTGTGAGAAATGCAATAATTTGGGATTGAGCCCCAGAATTTTTTTCAAGAAACTTTTAACTTATATTAAAATAATTTAAAATGAAACAATATTAAAATAAGTAAACAAAAATATTTCATAGATAGATAAATAAAATAAAATATTTCAAAAGTTAGGGACAAAGGAAGCATATCATATTTACTATGTACTCCCTCTGTTCTTGAGTATTTGTTCACTTTGACTTTTCCAGTAAAAATTCGTAAATTTTGACTTCAAATTAAATAAAAATGATATTAGATATTCGTACAAAAATAGTTTTATTCATTTTATTATATGAAATATTTTCAAAATATTATTTTATCTAGTTAATGTACAATATATATTTTATTTATTTAAAAGTCAAAGGTTAAAAACAGTTAATTGAGAAAATCAAAATTGGACAAATACTCAGAAACAGTAGTACTACTCCCTCCGTCCCGCAAAAAAATTCTCCCTTCTTTTTTCATCCGTCCCAAAAAACACTTCCCATTTTCTTTTAAAAAGTCACTTTTACCCATACTAATTTTTAACCTACTTATCACATCACACTTTTTCTCTATTAATTTATCTATCACATCCTACTTTATCCATCACATTAAAGGACAATTTTGGAAAATCAACACCAAAATACACTCCCCTTAAATCCTTAAAAAGTCAAAATGGGAACTTTTTGCGGGACGGAGGGAGTAGTACATAACAATAGTTAGAAAGGCTTGGAAATAGCTTTTCTACTCTCGTGTAACGGAAAAGTCTGCTTACACACCTGGACCCTACTCTTCAAGTCGTAGGATCAAAGTGGCGTGTTGTTGTTTGTATAAATACTTGGATTTTACACTCTATTTCAATAATTTTATTTTTATTTTGGAATGATTTTTTTACTAGGGCACAAATACTTCTTGCTCGAAAAAAAGTTTAATTTATCAGTTTTTTTTATTTTCACGCTGTATTTAAAAAAATTGACGGGAGATGAGTGTTGAAATATTAGAAATACTCCCCCGTCCGGAAATGTTCTTCCCGTGTTGACTTGGCACGCTTATTAAGGAATAATAAAAAAAATGCAAAATTATCAAAAATGCACATACTATAAACTTTTAAATCTCCTTTTATTATTAAAAAAGTAGATTTGTGATAAAATAGAAGGGTATTATTGATATTTAGCCTTAAAAAGCATACTAAAAAAGGAAATGGGAAGATTATTTCCGGACGGACCAAAAAGGAAAATGGGAAGAATATTTCCGGACGGAGGGAGTAATATTATTGCTCCTTGAATTATGAAGTACATGATAGAGTATATATATAGGAGAGACTCCTAACACAACTAGGAATAGAGAATGGAAACTAACTAACATACAACATCTACCATAACTAGGAATACTTAATATTATTGTTTAACATCCCCCTCAAGCTGAACTCTGGCTGAAGCAAGCGGAAGCTTGGACACTAGCTGGAAACTAGAAACTTTGAGAAGAGAGAAGTCTAGCTGCAGACATCGTTGAAGAAGAGAGAAAATTGACATGCGTTGGTAGCTGTTAACGTCGAAGATGAAGAGAGAAGGTTGACGTGCGCTTGTAGCTGTTTACATCGAAGAAGAATAGAAAAGGCTACTTGAGGTGCCTGTTTGACTGAAGATCTTTGACATTTTTTATCTTTTTCTTGGATCCGGGCAATGCCCTATTTCCTTCTTGAAGGGGTGAGTTGTAGAGGTCTTATTTCCTCTTTCACTACTTCCCCGCTTTGCTTTTGTGCTGATTTACTTTGAATTTTTATTGGTTCAATAAAAGAGAAAGAGAAAGGAGGTTGATGATTAGAATGGGTGATTTTAAAGAGAAAAAGTAGGCTAAAAATTGGTGATGGAAAAAAAAAATTTGGATATGAGATTTTGATATGGTGGATTGGAGAGAAACACCAATCATTTTTTTTTCTTTTTTAGAAGATAGGATCAGTGGCGGAGCGAGGATTGACTTCCTGGGGGGCACAATTCATTCAAAAAATGAAAAAAAAATCTCATAATACTAACAACTTTTAATAAGCAAAGCATAAACTAACATACCTTTTAATATTCCTAATTCTGAAATAAAATAACGATAACGATTTCAAAAAATCATCTAATAAATGTTCAAAAATTAAAACAATCCATCAATTATTATAAAAACCAATAATTATAAATTAATTTTAAGTATTAAACTTAAAGATAATGAAAATTGTAAGAAATCCTACCATCCTACTTTCCTAGCAATTAGCATACAGTACGGAGTATTTTTTCCAAATACCAATGGTGGAAAAAAGACAAAAAAACCATACAAGATCCATCACATATTCAAACATATAGCAAATCCCAAAGTGACGAAGAATTATTCAAAGAAAATTCATAAATTATACATCAATTATACAATTCATACCTGATAAGTGATTCGCACGGGACGCTGGTCAACGAATTGCAGAAGAAGTGATTATTATAGATTTGCTGATTTCAGTGATTTGAGAAGGGGAGACGCCTGAAGGCGAAGGAGGGAAGGCAGATGCAGAACCACGGGAGTAGAGGCCTAGAGGGTAAAGGGTTTTTTTATCCGATTTTTAAATTTTTTTAGAGAAAGAGTAAAACGACGCCGTTTTACTAGTTTTTTAAATAAAAAAATTAGAATCCAGCTGTTCTCCATTCTCCAAAGTAAGGCCCAAAGGAGTCAAAGCCCAAAACAAACTACGAAGTTGCAGATTTGCAGCGGCAGCCGACAAGTCGGGGGGGGGCAGATTTACATCAGCGGCTCTATGTCGATATTACTATGCCGGAAAATCGCCGGGGGGGGCAAGTGCCCCACCGTCCCCCCCTCCCCTCTCCTCAGCCCCTGGATAGGATGATCTGAGAGAGATTGTGAGGAGTTGAGTTTTTTTGACAAGAGAGAAGTTTCTCCTTTGATTGTTTTTTTTGTGTGATTTTAACAGGTTTTTTTTTTCTTTTTTTTGAATGGAGAAGTTGATTTGAGAATAAAAAAGAAAAAGAAAATAAAGGTGAATAGGGTGGAGCCGTCGTCGCCGGTAATAGCAGCGGTGGGAGCAAAGAACCTTTTTTTAGGTCATCAAGAACGGTGACTCTGATACCATGTTGAAATATTAGAAATAATATTATTTCAATATTTCAAAGAGCAATATTATTATTCCAATATTTTAACAATGAGTGCCCCGGTACCTTCTATGTGGATCTGCCACTGCAGGTCCCTTAGAAGCACAAAACAATTCAATATACTGAAATAGTGTAGGTCAGAATTATCATTATTACTCCCTCCGTCCTATAATGATCTTCCCGGTTCATTTTACGAAATTTGACCGACTTTATTTCCGATTCAATTTATTTGATTGTAGGTGTAAAATTAAAAAATAAAAATTATATATTTAAAAACTACATCAAAAGTTCTACAAAACAAGTAGTGACAAGACTATATTATTTTATCAAATACCTAATAAAAATAGGTAAAGAAAGTGATTAAAGTTTGACCGTGTAAAAAGTGTATGAGAAGAACATTATAGGACGGAGGGAGTATTATTATTATTTTTAATATTATTATTGTTGTTGTTATTATTATTATTATTATTATTATTATTATTATTATTATTATTATTATTATTATTATTATTATTATTATTATTATTATTATTATTATTATTATTATTATTATTATTATTATTATTATTATTATTATCTAACATCTGCAACACAGGTAACAGAGCTTCTCGACGGTTACTTCATCGCGTGCACTCTAAACCACGTCCTAGCCGACGGCACCGCCTTTTGGAATTTCTTCCATTCATGGTCGGAAATATCCCGCGGTTACCAACAAATCTCCCAAAAACCAGTTCTAGAACGTTGGTTTCCAGACGACACAAATCCCCCAATATATCTCCCTCTAACCTTCAAAGAAAAAACCCTACCTCTCGGCGATCTCACGCCGTCTCCCTTCCCAGAGCAGATGTTCCGCTTGGCCAAAGAAAACATCACCAAACTAAAAGAAAAAGCGAACGCAGAAACGGGAGAGAAGGGATCTATTTCCTCCCTGCAGGCATACATGGCGCACATATGGGTATGCGTGACCCGAGCGCGAAGTCTCGATGGTGATGCAGACGTTCAAATGTCGATCACCATCGGCACCCGAGCTCGGGCGCCTCTCCCAGAAGGGTACTGGGGGAACGCGCTTTACGTGAAGATGGTGACGGCTAAAGCAGGGGAACTGTTGGCTAGAGGATTGGGTTGGGCCGCTTGGAAGATCAAAGAAACGGTTCAGAACGAGAGTAACGAGGAGGTGATGAAGCAGTACCTGAGCTGGTGGAAATCTCCGGTGTTTCTGGGGGAGAAGAAGCTGTTCAAGGCGAAGAACACGCTTGTCATCGGCAGCTCTCCGCGGCACGACATATATAGCACGGATTTCGGGTGGGGAAAGGCGGTGGCAGTGAGGAGCGGCGAGGCCATTAAATCGGATGGGAAGGTCACTCTTTTTGAAGGAGGGGAGGAGGGGAGTGTGGACATAGAGCTATGCATTCATCCCCACACTTTGCTTGGTCTCACTAATGATCCTGAGTTCATGGAATATGTCACCCTTCCCCATTCTCACTAATGAAAATGGTGAAGAGTTTGGCCTAATATGAGGAGTTAGATGTGAAATTACTTACTCCTGTCTCACTACTCGTTTGAGTTTTAAGTTCTTCAAAGGTTTGTTGAGTTTTTAATGTTGAGTTTATCGATCCTGTTTCAAGAATAATCTTACTCCTTCCAAAAATTATAAACTCTTTTACCTTCACAAGGTTAAACTTTATTCATTTTCGTTAGTAGATGATTTTAATAATTGTAACACCCCTATCCGCATAATCTAAATACATCGGTTAACAAATCGGGATATGCTACTAATGTCAAATTCTATAATGGACCTAAGATCCACCCTGGACCTACATATGAGCAAAATAAGCATTTCTTTATTATTTAAATAAATTTATTTTTTAAAAAAACAAAAAAAAAAGATTTTTTATGTGAGAATGCCCATAAAATTGATATACACCCAAGGTGCACCAAAGAAGCACTTGCTACTAATATTGTATCCAAAACACACCATATTTTCAAAAAATTCCAATTTAAAAACATTCATATCAAAATCCACTTAGAGAATCCCTCTTTGGAGTAAAACCAAGTAGTGCGAAAGCTTAAGTAATTAAAACAAACACAATTTGGGACTCATGCCCAATAACGTGATAAGACAAATGGAAATAAATATAGATTCAAGGTCATAAACACACAAACATAAACTTATCTTATAAATTTTCATTACCGTCATACAACACCCAAAGATAAATAATCAATATTCCTCATTTTATCAATTACTCATTATTAAATCAATTCTATGTATTTTTAATTAACAAAATATGAGTTAGATTGATCATATGTGCAAACGTTGCATAAACAATTTCATTAATTCGAAACATGGCTCTTCTGGGTGAAACATTTTGATTCGTTTGAATAAATTACCATTTATTCGACTAAACCAGTAGGAACTCCTCTAATTTAGTCGACTGGATGATGATTTAGTCGAATAAATCAGGGCATATGCAACCTCACGATCCTGCGCTTTGACTTGGTTCTCCGGTGGCCTTTGGGGTTTTTTTGGTCATCAAACATCATAAGTACATCATATAATAATTCCTTATCATTCATAGATCATTTTATCAACTAAAATCATAACTTTAACATCAAACAACGAGTTGGTGATTTCAGGTTTATCAAATTCATCATACCTATCTTCATGCTTCATGATCACAAGCCAACGCTCATACTTAGATACACACATAATCAATCAAATAACAATCATGAACGAACATGAGTTTTGTTCACGTACTCACCTCGAATCGACGAAGGGTTAAACTAGGATGAACGATAGAAGCCTTACCATGCTGGTCGACGAACGGGGCAGGTGTACTCTTCTTCTTCTTCTTCTTCTTCTTCTTCTTCCTCTTCTTCTTCTTGTTCTTCTTCTTCTTCTTCTTCTTCTTCTTCCTCTTCTTCTTCTTGTTCTTCTTCCTCTTCTTCTTCTTCTTTTCGTTGGGGAGATTGGCAAAGGGATGGGCGTTAGCGTGACTAAGTGTCGTGAGTGATTTAGGCGCACGTAGGAGCATTTATATAATCTAGGAATTCATGATCCATAATCTATTAATGTACCTAAATAAAATGTACTTCTAGGCCAACTTGCTCTGGATGCAGATTCGTCTACTCAGTTGGATTTTTCTTGTCGAACCCTACACAACAGTATAGTTTTTATAATTAATTGACAACTATTTATAATTAACTCAAGGTCGGTCTCAATAATTAATTGTAATACGCTGGGTTAGGGGGCGTTACATAACAGACAAAAGTAATTATGGGCTCCTAATTAAGTTAACATCATGGTCTTGTAGGTTGTAGCTATTATATATAGAATCTTTGACTCTTTGTGTTCAATAAAGTCATTCATTCAAAATTTTTACATGGTACTAGAGCCAAATCCCCCTGTGAAATCCTAGTTTCTCTTCCATCAATTTTCCCTATGCACGTGTCACTCGATGTTTGTGCAACGACGGCACCGGCACCGTAGCAGGTGTCTCAATACATGCATGCCCGTGATGCATCGGGGTTTTCCTCAGCGCAACCTTTCATAGAATAGGTACCTGCAGGAGCTCGTCCTTGTTGCTGGTTTTGATTTCTCAGTGGGTTGGATCCCGCCACCGAGCGTTGACTCAATGCTGAACATTCTGACGCCGTCTCCTTACAACTGGAGCAGCTAGGAAAGGTTCGCCAGGATTGGTGGGACAATCCTTTCGGAAATGTCCAGGTTTATCACAACCTAGACATATTCCTTATGCGATCCAGCATTCTCCGGGGTGATTCCTACCCCACATGTCGCACATCGGGTGCTTCCATCTCCTTGTTCTATCACCAGATGCCACAAATTGGGTTGCTACACATTTTCCCTTTTTTGAGTGTGGGGCACTAATGGTCCCACCAAAGAATCTCTTCCCACCAACAGGTGGTCAAGCACTTGAACTTGCATGTTCAGTCTTCAAACTCTTCCCGTAATCGCTTAGATCTTTCTCCTCTATGCTTAGGATAAATCTACAATACGAGTGATAGACACGTGTGGCCTAAGGTCAGGTCACTGCCTTTTTCGAAACTTCTCAATGCGATTAGCCATAGTACCAACTAGCGTTGGTGCAAACTGAACAAAATGGAGGAACTTCTGTCGGTACTAATGGAGTGTCATACTTTCCTGCTTTAGTTCAACAAACCCAGCGCATTTCTCCTCACGAAAACGAGCAGGAATATACTCCTTCTTGAAAGCCCAACCAAAGAATTCTTAAGTCCAACGTTTGGGTGTATTCTAATCTTCATCACCGCATTTCCACCACTCGTAAGCTCCCCTGCGGAGTAATTGGGATGCAAGTTTTGGACAGTTTGCCTATGATATGTTCAGATCTTCCAACACTCTAGTGTTCTGCTCGATCCAGTCTAGAGAAATCTAGAGTTCAGCAATTTTATCCCCATAGAATTCTTCCGCGCCATTATCCTTCAGAGTTTTGAAGGTAATCTCACGTGTTTATTGTTCGGCACTTGATTAGCATGACCGTGTGCGGATTCTTGACTCATTCTACAAATAACATGAATTCCTTTATTAGGACTCTTTATTTGAGTAGTCAAGTTGATTAACAAAAATCTCAAGGAAATACAACAATTGCAATGATTGAACACAATCAAAAGAATTTTGAGAAGAAACAACGGAATTTTATTATTTCTAAGTGTTCGCATTTGAATCAATGTTCAGATTGCGCTGAGTCCATAGGAGGGTCCTTGACACCAAAGTAATAGATGCTATTTGCAAAATCAACACTAAAATTTTCTTCAGGGTTGTCTCATTTCCTTGCGGCTTTATGGCGCAGATAAATTTTCAATTTAGTCATTCTCGCGATGCGATGAGCACGTTGATAATGGATCAAGGAGTCGTACACTTCTCGCTTATTCTTCTGTGTCTTGCCGAGTACAAAATTTCAATTTAAGTCGACACTTAATACGATTTCAGTACTAACAGATGTCATCTAATGAGAATTTGATACAGCCAATATTTATCACATAAATTTTCATTACCTTTCGTAGAGCAGAGGGATGTGAGAGTCGTGGATGTGATTTTTTAATAGCCAATATTTGATTTTTTTATCTGAAAATCGGGTTTAAAACCATTTATTCTGATACCAAATTCTAACATCGTAATCCGTCAAGGTCCATAACCCCTTTCAGACTTAAATATTAACTTGGTAACGTAAACATTTAAAACATTTCAATATTTAAAACTTAATTTCATCATTATAAACTATTTAGAAATAGTAACAAAGTTTATCAAATTACGGGAGCCTAATAAATAGTTTTACATCACAATCATTAATTCATTTTTTTTTGAAATAATTATTGAACAGTTCAAAACCATCACACATCCATCTGACATCTTGTGTCCCCATTTGCCGCCAGGATCAATCAAATCATTCTTTATTTTGTTTACTTGCGTGTAGCAAATAAAACTTACTACACGCTCAGCGTTGAAGCTGAGTAAGGATATCTAATGCATCGAACATTCACATAAATTGAATCTCAATTCATAATCAAATCATTTAATATCATGCACATAATATTCATTTCAATTATTTAATACTCATAATGTCAACAGTATTCTTAAATTATTCTTAGTCTAAGGCCAAATCAAAACAATGCTATTAAATTATTATTAGTCTAAAACCAATTCATATTGATTACAAAGCTCTTAAACTATTCTTAGTCTAAGGTAGAACACAAAATCATGACCTACTCTACAAGTCATTATAGGTCACACTCAAATAACCGAACAACAGACTACTCACTGTCGGGTGGGTGGTATCCCCAAACGAGTTATTCTCTAGTTTGGTTTGTGGATCCCGTACGTACATTTTTACCCAGGCTACCAAACATCATATCCACAAGGCCCAAACTAATTAAGTCACATGGGATATTTATTAGAAATCTTCTAGATAGTCTTAATCGTTTATAATCATTATTTAAAATAGGATACTATTTTAATCAAGGTTCAATTGTCATAATTAACAATCAATAACAATCATCATAAAATTTAATGACAAATAATGGCCTAGCGTCGAGTGTTAACACCTTAGCTTACCGTCATGCATTAAATAAGGTTCTTGAATTTATTAAAACATTATATTTAGCTTGGAAAATACACTCATACTGATTTATAGTTGCATGGCATCAAAAATAAGATTTTATAGTTCAAAAATCATGTTTGTGGGAAAATTCACAGATCAGACGGTACCTGTTACGGTACATGGTACCAGCACACGGTACCTTAGTACCGTTCCAAACAGTATCGGGTACCATCTCGTACCAGGTTTTGACAGAGCCGGTTGGCCTGTGGCGGTGCCTGGCTACCATCCCAACGGTAGGGTCTACCGCCTGGGCGGTAGCTCTGTACGTATAGGCGATAGCTACGTACCGTATCTGCACAAAATTTGAACAGTGTCATCTATAACCTCGAGTTACTTTTCAAAAATGTCATTTTAAGCCATCAAACTTCATGTAAACTATGTAGAAATGTTCTCTAAAGTTCATAGATCATTCTGATACCATTCATTCGAAGTTTTAACAATAATTTTAAGATCTTCATTTATGGTTCATCAACTATGTCAAACACAAAACTCAACTAAATGACTGTTTATGAACGTAGAAATGATCTATATGAACATTCTAATCACTACATATATCTAAAGGCTTACCTCGGGCTAAAATAGATGTTTTGGAAAT